TAGAGACGGGGTTTCACCATGTTGACCAGGATGGTCTCGATCTCTTGAACTCGTGATCCACCTGCCTCGGCCTCTCAAAGTGCTGGGATTATAGGCGTGAGCCACCGCACCCGGCCCTTCTTTTTCTTTTTTTAAGAGGGAGTTTTGGGCCACACCCGGCCCTTCTTTTTCTTTTTTTAAGAGGGAGTTTTGGGCTGGGCGCGGTGGCTCACGCCTATAATCCCAGCACTTTGGGAGGCCGAGGTGGGTGGATCATGAGGTCAAGAGATCCAGACCTTCCTGGCCAACATGGTGAAACCCTGTCTCTACTAAAAGTACAAAAATTAGCTGGGCATGGTGGCGCGTGCCTGTAATCCCAGCTACTCGGGAGGCTGAGGCAGGAGAATTGCCTGAACCCAGGAGGTGGAGGTTGTGGTGAGCCGAGATCGCGCCATTGCACTCCAGCCTGGGTAACAAGAGCGAAACTCCGTCTCAAAAAAAGAAAAGACGGAGTTTCGCTTTTGTTGCCTAGGCTGGAATTCAATGGCACAATCTCAGGTCACTGCAACCTCCGCCTCCCGGGTTCAAGTGATTCTCCTGTCTCAGCCTCCCGAGTAGCTGGGATTACAGATATGCGCCACCACGCCCAGCTAAATTTTGTATTTTTAATAGAGATGAGGTTTCACCATGTTGGCCAGGCTGGTCTTGAACTCCTGACCTCAAGTGATCCACCCACCGTTGGCCTCCCGAATTGCTGGGATTACAGATATGAGCCGCCACTCCCGGCTCGCAATTATTTAAAATAACAATAGGCCGGGTGCGGTGGCTCACGCCTGTAATCCCAGCACTTTGGGAAGCCGAGGCGGGCGGATCTCGTGCTGGCACGCCCCTCTGGTTTTAGCTACTTGGGAGGCTGAGGCGGAAGAATAGCTGGAACCCAAGAGGCGGAGGTTGCATTGAGCCGAGATTGCGTCACTGCATTCCAGAGCAAGACTCCATCTCAAAGAAAAGAAAAGAAAAAAAAAAAAAATATATATATATATATATATATATATATATATATATGAACAGTAAAGCTGGCCACACTGACTGCCTCTTCCTCCCACAGAAGGTTTCTCTGCAGCGTGTGATGCTGTTGACAGGATTTTGTCCACAGTAGTTCAGGAGTTTCTTCCACAATTGGAAAATCCTCTCAAACCTACCGCGACTGTGCCAACCACGTTTATGGAATATTCTAAATCCTCACCGGGAGCAGATTCCATCTCAGGAAAGCACTTTTGCTGGACGCAGTGGCTCACACCATAATCCCAGCGCCTTTGGACGCCACGTCTGCCAGCAGGCGGATCACCTGAGGCTAGGAGTTCAAGACCTGCCTGGCTGACGTGGTGAAACCCCATCTCTACTACAAATACAAAAATTAGCCGGGCGTGGTGGCAGGTGCCTGTAATCCCAGCTACTTAGGAGGCTGAGGCAGGAGAATCACTTGAACCTGGGATCTGGGTGTTGCAGGGGGCTGAGATCACGCCACTGCGTTCCAGCCTGGGCAACAGTGAAACTCCATCTCAAAAAAAAAAAGTCACCTGACCTCACTGAGTTAACTGATGGAGTCCTCCCATGTCCCACCATTGCACGGTGTCCCCTACAGCGCCGTGTGTGTGTGTGTGTGTGTGTGTGTGTGTGTGTGTTGGGGGGAGGTGGTGGCTGGTGTTCTGAGTATCTTCTTCCCAGCGGTGGGCTCAGGGTGTGATTCTCACAGTGCCTCCACGCAGGAGGGAAGGAGAGGGGCATGCCTGGGACCTGAGGGGCATCGCGTATCCCGACGTCAGCATGGATCTCCTGAAGCGTACCCCGTGCTGCTGACTGGCCCGCTTCCTGTCTCATTGAAATTGGTGGCTTAAAGCCAAGACCTTGTCACTTGCAGTGAGGAGCCCTTATGGGGAATGCCAAGATTTCCCCTCAGCCTGTTCTATGGTGAACGCCTCCCGCTAGGTGGCTTAGCCCATGAATCGGAGCGTACCCTACGTTCCAAACCTTAAGAGCAATCTTGTCCGAGAACTCAGCCGGTCACTGCCAACTACATGACCACTCACACATGAACCTGGAGCAGCCACCAACCAAGCAGAATCCCGTCCCACACGCGGCCTGTGAAAATCCAGTGTGTGCTGTACTTAACGCTGTATGCACTTTCTGTACATACGCTTAGTTAAAAAGGCATTTTAAGGCCGGGCGCGGTGGCTCACGCCTGTAATCCCAGCACTTTGGGAGGCCGAGGAGGGTGGTTCACGAGGTCTAGAGATCGAGACCATCCTGGTCAACATGGTGAAACCCCGTCTCTACTAAAAATACAAAATTAGCTGGGCATGGTGGTGCGTGCCTGTAATCCCAGCTACTCAGGAGGCTGAGGCGGGAGAATTGCCTGAACCCAGGGGGCGGAGGTTGCGGTGAGCCAAGATCATGCCATTGCACTCCAGCCTGGGAAACAAGAACGAAACTCTGTCTCAAAAAAAAAAAAAAAGACATCTTAGATGCACATATTATCTATCTATCTATTTAGAAACAGGGTCTCACTCTGTCACCCAGGCTGAGTGGTGCAGTCTCGGCTCACTGCAGCCTCCACCTTCAGGGTTCAAGTGAGTTTCCTGCCTTAGCCTTCCGAGTAGCTGGGATTATAAGCATGCGCCACCACACACAGCTCGGTTTTTGGTATTTTAGTAGCAATGGGGTTTCACCACGTTGCCCAGGCTGGTCTTCAACTCCTGCCCTCAAATGACCCACCTGCACTGGCCTCCCACAATGCTGGGATGCAGGCGTGAGCCACCGCGCCTGGCCTGAATGTAGTTATAAGCAGAACAGGCACAGGGACTCTGCACCCAAAGTCACCCTGGTGCATCTCTCCCTTCGGTGGGACTCAGGCTTCCACCACCACAATGCTTTCTCCAGGGGCCTCATAAACACTGCGGGTCTCCTGCCTCAGCCTGTCCCTGGATTCCCTTTCACGGAGAGTGTAAAATCTCCCCATTGATGCTAACATGTAGCCTGGTGGGGTTGGATGTGTAAGGGGGGGCAGGTGGGGAGGGAAAAGGTAATAGCCATCAGACTTGTATGGGGCAGGATCAGAAGGAAAAGCACACTGCAGTCGGCCAGGGCCCAGCATAAGTGGGCGGGAGTGGTCAGCTCTGGGGCGGTACATAAAACGGGGGTGGGCTGGGCGCAGTGGCTCACGCCTGAAATCCCAGCACCTCGGGAGGCTGAGTGGGCGGATCACGAGGTCAGGAGTTTAAGACCAGCCTGACCAATATGGTGAAACCCTGTCTCTACTAAAAATACAGAAATTAGCCAGGTGTGGTGGCGTGCGCCTGTAATCCCAGCTACTCCGGAGGCTGAGGCAGGAGAATCTTGTGAACCCCGGAGGCGGAGGCTGCAGTGAGCCGAGAGTCCGCCTTGGCACTCGAGCGTGGGCGACAGAGTGAGATTGTGTCTCACATAAAAAAACAAAAAACAAAAACTGGGGGTGGGACTATTTCTGATACTCCAAATTCCACACTGAGTGAACTGGGTAAGTTTAAAAATAAGATAAAGACATAACTAGGGGAGCCGATAAGTTCAAAAATAAAAATGAAGACATCCCTTTCAGGGGCTGGGGCCTTACTGTCCAGGAGGAAAGCCTGGCCACAGACACCGGTGCTGGTGCCAGTCAGTGCCCGCACATACCCGGGCACCTTCCCCACAGGGCGTCAGAAAAGAGAGCCCCAACAGCCGTTTCAAACATTATTTATTTATTTATTTATTTTTTTTTTTCACTTTTTCAAACATTTTCTTCACCCTTTTTTTTTTGAGACGGAGGTTCGCTCTTGTTACCCAGTGCAATGGCGCGATCTCGGCTCACCGCAGCCTCTGCCTCCTGGGTTCAGGCAATTCTCCTGCCTCAGCCTCCCGAGTAGCTGGGATTACAGGCACGTGCCACCACGCCCAGCCAATTTTTTGTATTTTTAGTTGAGACGGGTTTCACCATGTTGCCCAGGATGGTCTCGATCTCTAGACCTTGTGATCCACCCGCCTCTGTCTCCTAAAGTTTTTTCTTTTTTTTAGGGGTTTCACCATGTTGGTCAGGCTGGTCTTGAACTCCTGACCTCAGGCAATCCACCCGCCTTGGCCTCCACAGCGCTTGGATGACAGGCGTGAGCCACCCGCCCGGCCTACATTTTCTTCACTCTTATGAGAACTGCCAGTAACAAATGTAAGAGGTCATGGCATAGAAAAGAATGACGTGAAACCAGAACGTTTTAGCAGCTTTCCCAAAAATGTAATTCTTGCAGAAATCACGACAGCCAGGCCAGGAATCAGCTGGCAGCATCCGTCTAGCTTCCTGTGATGAGTTCTAACCCTCACATCCAGCCTCCAAAGCTTAGAGGATTAAATAATCAGCTACTGGTCACATGTACACGATGAGGGTCACAGCCAAGGGGGCTGCCTCCCGGCCCTGAGCTTTCCTGGGTGTGTGTCTGTGGGAACCACCTTTTTTTTTTTTGAGATGGAGATTCCCTTAGCTGGGCACGGTGGCTCGCACCTGTAATCCCAGCTACTCCGGAGGCTGAGGCAGGAGAATTGCCCGAACCCAGGAGGCGGAGGTTGCGGTGAGCCGAGATCGCGCCATTGCACTGCGGCCTGGGTAACAAGAGGGAAACTCCATCTCAAAAAAAAAGGAATTTGAGACATGTCGGCCAGTGCTAGGCCCACAACACGCGCCAGCGCTTAGCAGGCCCTGCCCTTGGCACCAGGCCCCACCTACCAGGGAAGGCCCCGCCCCCAAAGGAGACGCCTCCGGACCCCGAACCGAGCCACGCTCAGCAGACCCTGCCCGGGCACCAAGACTGTGCCTCGCCAGGCCCCGCCCCTTTACCTGGCCCCGCCCACCAACCACCGCCCCTCACCGAGCCCCGCCCACCAGCCCCCGTCCCAGAACGAGCCTTGCCCGCCAGGCCCCGCCCCTTCGCGGAGTGCTGCCCACTAGTCCCGCCCCCCGCATTGAGCCACGCCCACCCGCCGGACACGCCTGCGCCGCTGACTCCTCTGGCGGCTGGAGCTGAGGTCTCATTCGTCCCGTTCCGCACGATCGAGAAGGAAGTCGGCCGTCTAGCTCCCGGTCTCCAGGCCTGCGACCGTCCGCCAGCCGTCCCGAGGTCAGTAGCCCCAGCGGTGCGGCAGCCTCTCGCCAGGCCTCCCCGCGCCGGCCTTGGTCGGGCTTTCTTTGGACCCGCGCTCGGCGCTACGGAGGCCCCTGCCGCGCCGGCGAGACACGTGTTCCCTCGGCGGGACGGGGTCGGGGGAGGCCGGGGGTGGTGCGGAGGCTGCGCTAGGCGGCGGCGCGGCCCGGCGGAGGTGGCTCGCCCCGATCAAGTCGTCATACCGCGAGCTGCCCTTAGGGGCGCGCCGGAAGTCCCTGCGCGGGGGTGCGACTGCGCCTGCGTGGTTCGGCCTCGCCCGCCGGGCACCCCAGTCCTGGGATGTCAGCGAGCTGCGTAACCAACGCTGGCCCAGCCGAGCTTTTTTCCCCAAACCCCGTCAGCCGTGACTTTATTCTCCCAAAGAAGCGGCCTCCCGGGAATGACCGCCCTGGAGAAGACGCGCTCGGCTCCCACCACGGGGCGTTGGGGGAAACGTGGGCGGTCTCGGGCGGGGAAGGAGGGTCCTCCGCGCTCCACTGCGGAGCCTCGCCCCGGCACCACCCGGGGACGGGATGTCGGGCCGCGAAGCTGCCGCCTGGTGCTGCGTAGAGAGCAACGTAACTGGGACGGCACTTGGGGGTTAGCGTCAGGGCTGTCGCCAGAGTTAGCGGAAATGACGAAGAGGCCCCAGGCACGTCCCGTTGTGGGGAGAGGCTCCAGGCAAGGTGCCCACGCGCCTCGGAAATGCCTGAGGACTTAGGCACCCTTTCCCGAGGGCAGTTTGGCAGTGTTTCAGAAGGGCCTTAGAACCGGGCGGGCCGTTCTAGAATAGTGGAAAGCCTAAAAATCTGAAATCCGTTTTAAATGTTGTCTTAGCGATGGGCTGAGTAAACCACGCGTGCCTGTAGTCCCAGCTACTCGGGAGGCTGAGGCAGAATTGCCTGAACCCAGGACGCGGAGGTTGCGGTGAGCCGAGATCGCGCCATTGCACTCCAGCCTGGGTAACAAGAGCGAAACTCCAAAAAAACAAACAAAAAAACCCCCAAAATTAGCCGGTGCTGTGGCAGGGCCTGTAATCCCAGCTACTCGGGAGCTGAGGCAGGAGAATCGCTTGAAATCAGGAGGCGGAGTTTGCAGCGAGCCGAGATTGCACCATTGCACCCCAGCCTGGACAACAAGACTGAAACTCTGTCTAAAAAAAAAAAAAGTTACGTTGGGCAGGGCGCTCTGGCGCAGGCTGTAATCCCGGCACTTTGGGAGTCTGAGACGGGCGGATTGCTTGAGCCCAGGAGGAGGATGCAGTTAGCTGTGGCCTCATCCCTGCTATAACAAATTTGCCACAGATAGGTGGTTTTACAGGCCTGGAGCTCAGACGCCCAAAGTGAGGTTTAGGAGGTTAAAATCAAGGTATTGGCAAGGCTCGTCCTGGAGGTTCCCAAGGAGAATCTACTTTTCCTCTTCCAACTTCTGGAGGTGACCTTGTTCCACCTAGAAAACCTGTCTTTGCCTCCTGCATAGGAACTCTCCTGATTTTATGCAGACCACCCAGACCCCCCAGGGTAGTCTTAGCGTCTCAACATTTGCAAATTCCCTTTTTAGATAAAGCCACCGGTTTGGAGATTAGGGTGTGGACATCTTTCAGGGCCATTCGTATTTTAAAATCGTACTGTTGATAAGAATAGGCGGGGTGGTGGCACCCGCCTATAATCCCATCACTTTGGGAGGCTGAGGTGGGTGGATCACGAAGTCAAGAGATTGAGACTGGCCGGGCGTGGTGGCTCACGCCTGTAATCTCAGCACTTTGGGGAGGCAGAGGTGGGCGGATCACCTGAGGTCAGGAGTTCAACACCAGCCTGGCCAACATGGTGAAACCCCGTCTCTACTAAAAATACAAAAATTAGCTGGGCGTGATGGCAAACGCCTGTAGTCCCAGCTACTGGGGAGGCTGAGGCAGGAGAATTGCTTGAACCCAGAAGGTGGAGGTGGCGGTGAGCCTGGATCTCGCCATTGCACTCAGCCTGGGTAACGAGGGAAACTTCGTCTCAAAAAAAAGGGTAAAATGTTTGAAGAGATTTATTGTGAGCCAGATGAGTGTGGCTGGTGACATAGCTCTCAGGAGACCATGAGAACGTGTCGGTGGTTGGGGCAGCTCGGTGTTTTTTTTTATTTTTGAGTCGGAGTGTCGCTCTTACCCAGGCTGGAGTGCAATGGCGCAATCTCGGCTCACCGCAACCTCCGCCTTTTGGGTTCAAGCAATACTCCTGCCTCAGCCTCCCGAGTAGCTGGGACTACAGGCACGCACCACCATGCCCAGCTAATTTTTGTATTTTGAGTAGAGACGGGGTTTCACCTTGTTGACCAGGATGGTCTCGATCTCTTGACCTCGTGATCCACCCGCCTCGGCCTCCCAAAGTGCTGGGATTACAGGCGTGAGCCACCGCGCCCGGCCCCGGTTTCTTTTTTTTTTAATAAGTGCTGCGCTCACTTTTCATGCAGCGTGGTTTTATGCATTTTAGAGATGTGAGACATCCACGAAACACAGTTAAGATACATTGGTTTGGTCCAGAAAGGCGGGACCAAACAAGATTTTTGAACGTTTCCCGAGCTCAGGCATGAACTATTGCCTGATGCTCACAGAGTTTTCAGGGCGGCCCAGTGCTCTCCGAAAACCCTCCTCACAGCCTTGTGCATTTCGCCTCAGCCACACGTTACCGGCTGTTTCTGTCTCAGGTTTGCTTTATTTCTGAGTTCGGGGAATTTCTGGAATCGGGCCTGGTTGTGGGAAGGGGCAGGGCGCGTCCCTCCTGGGTGGTCGGGGCTGCGGGAGCTGGAGGGACTGAAGGCGGGTGCAGGTTAAATGGAAAGGCTGGTGGGGGCCAGACTGTGGCAAACGGGTGGGAAGTGGGACGAGCCCGGGGGCTGAGCTGAGCAAGAGGGTAAGTGGGTGTGGCCCCAGGGGACTCCCGACCCGCCCTCCCCTGGAGGCTCCGCCCGCCCCCGCCTGTGCGGAAGGAGCCCGGGGCTGGCCGGGTGAGGGTTCTGGGCTGAGCCGGCGCGGGAGGGGACAACCCTTGCGTATTTTTCTGAGGTCCCGTCCCAGCCTTTTAGTACGGGGCAGGGTGTCCAGAACTAGTGGGTTCAGGGACCCGACGCGGCGTGGGGGCAGGGGTCACAGGATCGGGACCCTTTGCGTGTCACCTGAGCGTGGCCCGGGTCTTCTGGGGGGGGGCCCTGCGCCCCCGGTGGTTGCCATGTCCACGACCTGGTCACATCAGAACCTCCAGACAGCTCCCTCCTATGTGGCTCCCCAGGGTGGGGCTCAGGCCGTGGGCGCTGCGGAGACCTCCCATAAGGTTGAGAAGGTCTGGTCTCTGGATAAGGGACCGTCAGGGCCGTGGGTCAGACTCTCGCCTCGACCATAGCAGGCTGCCAGCTGGCGGCGGTGGTGCCTGAATGTGCTTTTAGCCCTGGCTGAATAGGGGGGTGGGGGCCTCCTCCAGAAACAGAAGGGTGGGCACACCCACATGCTCATGGGGTCTTCAGTGGGCTCAGTGTCCTACACAGGTTCAGATGTGCCTTCCTGGCTCCAGGGTGCAGCCCTGGGGATACAGCACGGTCTGGTCAAGCCTGAGTGATGGGGACTGAGCCCCTCCCACAGCCCTCGTCTCAGGTGGTCATGGGAGTGCTGGCCGCTCTGGGCCCCCACCAAGCTTTCTCAGGAGGAAGACACCTTGGGGTCAGCTTCCTCTGGGTGCAGAGGACACAGGAGTGTCAGGCTGATTCAGGGAGCGCGTGCAGCCTGGGGAGCCCCCCCAAGGCTCTGCTTCCCCCTTTTCCGCCCACAGTGCCTCCCAGTGACTCAATTCTGGAGTCAGGGTTTGGGTGACCACGCCCTGGTTGGGTTTGCTCACATGCTTGGGGCGGTGGGGTGTCACTGCCCTTTGCCACAGCACCCTTGCAGGCCCGGCGCTGAGGCATGTGGACCCAGACACAGCCCTGCTCTTTCCTCCTAGTGGGTACCAGGGGCCTCTTCCCCCCATTCAGCCAGAGTGGACTGGCTGCCTCAGAACCATCCCTGGGAGGGCGTGCCAGGCACCAGGAAGCTTAGGGTTTCAGCAGCGGCCTCTGAGCTGTACTGTCGGCTGTCTTTGTGAAGGGCAGCTGGGGATTTGTCATTCCTGGAGTGTGGCCTGCCAGCTTTCTGTGGCTCTGGGATGAGAGCCCTCTCCCTACTGTGCCCGCCCCTCCCCCCAGCATGGCATCAGGACTGCTACCTCCAGGGTCCCCCTCCTCTCCAGGTTCCCGCCCTGCTGAGGCCCCCAGGCCAGTGCTTGGCAGGTGCTCTGGGAATGTATCCACCTACCAGGCTTTGGGGTAGCTGTCTCAGCCTGACCACTTCGTTCCCCAGGCCCTGGCAGGCAGGTGGGTCCTGAGCTGTGCTCTCAGGGCAGCCGGTCTTGCATTCATTCCGGCTCTGTGCCTGTCCCTCAGGAGGTTTCAGGGTATGGCAGCTGTGCCAGTCCTGGGCGAGCCTGACAGCCAGGCCTCTGTAGGCTGGCATGCTGTGGGGCGGGGGGCGTGCTGTGGGGCGGGGGGCGTGCTGTGGGGCGGGGGGCGTGCCCTGGCCTGGTGAAGAGTCCCTAGCCCCAGAAGGGGACATGAAAGCTGACACCCCAAGTGCCTACCCCACCTGCTCCGCCCTGTGCGGGCACTGGCTGGTGCCCCTCCTGCCAGCTGTTTCAGGGCCATGGAGCCTGGTTGTGTGGGAGGTGCTGGGGTCCAGGATCCTGGCATCCTGGGAGGTCTTGGGCTCTATGGGCAGCCTGCCTGGCCCGCCCAGTCCACTTCCCCTGAGTGAGGCACAGGCCCCGTTGCTCCCCTGCCCGGGTCTCCGACCACCCATCCCTACCCTGTCCCTGCCCAGGCAAATTAGAGGCCAGGCTTCCTGGGCTGCTGCTGTCCCTGCCTCTGTGGGGCAGGAGGAGGTGCCCACAGAGGCTGGGCTGGCATCTGTGTCCCCAAGCTCTGCTGCCCATGGTGGCCTTTCCAGGGGTGGGTCCTGGCCCCTGCTCCTGGACAAAGGTGGGAAGCTCCTGAAGAGGAAGTGCTGGCCCGGGAGAGGCTGTGGCTCCTCCTGAAGCATCAGCCTTGTGGCAGAATTTGCAGACTCCCAGCTGGCAAAACTGAGGGGATTCCGCCAAGACGTTCTCTTCCCTCTGCCCCTAACCCAGGCTACTCCCGACCTCCGCCATGAGTGTGGACACGCAGTGCCTGGACATCCAGTGTGAAGAGCTGAGTGGTAGATGGGCCAAGCTGCTCCCCCTGCTCCAGCAGTGCCACACGGTCAGGTACACTTGCCCTTGGGGTGGCTTTGGGGCACTGGCAGGGGCAGGTTTGCGGGTGGCAGCTCCTCTGAAGGTGTGCTTCTGTGGAACACCTTGTTTAATAGATGGGCAGTGTGAATTCTGTGCAGCCTCCACGTGTGAAATGTGATTCTTGTATTGCTTTTCAATGATTTAGGAATGTAAAATCATTCTGGGCTCATGCAGCGGGCTGAGGTGGGCGGGCACCAGCCAGTGGGTCTCTGGCTCCAGCGTCCTGGGCCCTCTCCCTCCCCTGGAAACACAAGGGGCAGGACACAGCTTGGGTCCCCTTAGTGGGCATCCGTGGGCACTGGCTGTCCCTGCCTAGCTTGGGGCTGGGAGTCCTCGGCCCTCAAGGTCCTCACAAACCCAGCGGCTTCACAGCAGGAACAAGTGCCTGCATGGGCCTCATCTTTCCTCTCACTGGTTATTTGAAGTCGTGTCAGGCTTGCAGAGGAGTTGGGAGGATTGCACGGCTCTCCCCTGGTGAGGCGGTCCTGTGTGTACGGGGACGATGGTGCCAGCCCAGCACCTCCAAGCAGTCTCCTCTCCCCCGCCCTTTTCCTCTTCCAGTCCTCTGTCTCCATGGCCCTCTCCCAACTGTGACCGTCCCCTCATCTCTCCGGGTTCTTGGTGGTCTGAGTGTCTGGACAGGCAGACGTGGGGTGTCCTCTGTTGGGGTGTCTGATGGTTTCCCATGGTTGAACCCACGCACTTTTGGGAAGAACTCGGGCGCCTGCCGGGCCCATGCTGACGCCCTCCCCTGCGACGTCACTGCTTTTCCTTCTGTGACTGATCAGTGCCTTCGACAGATACTTTAAATTCTTACGTTTAGGGACAGGGCCTCGCTCTGTCACTCAGGCTGGAGTGGCTCAATCATGGCTCACTGCAGCCTCGCCCTCCTGGGCTCAAGTGATCCTCCTGCCTCAGCCTCCCGAGTTCTGGTGGCGGAGGTGCTGGCTGGTGGGGCTACTGAGGCCCTGCTCACTCCTATGTCTGCGTTCCACCTGCCTGCCATGTTCGGCATGCATCAGAGGCTCCTGCCGGACGGTGGTTCCTGTGAGATCTGTCTCGTTAGGATTTTGTACTTTTTTTCCTTTTCTTTCTTTTTTTTTTTTGAGACAGGGTCTTGCTCTGTCACCCAGAATGGAGCACAGTGGCTTGACCTCGGGTCACCACAACATCCACCTCCTGGGTTCAAGCGATTCTCCTGCCTCAGCCTCCCGAGTAGCTGGGACTGCAGGCGCGCACCACCATGCCTGGCTCCTTTCTGTATTTTTGGTAGAGATGAGGTTTCACCATGTTGGCCAGGCTGATCTAGAACTCCTGACCTCAGATGATCTGCCTGCCTCGGCCTCCCAAAGTGCTGGGATTACAGGCGTGAGCCACTGCAGCTGGCCTGAATTCTTCTGTAACTTCTTTCTTTTCTCCTCAATTTTTTTTTCAGATGGAATCTCGCTGTCACCCAGGCTGGAGTGCAGTGGCGTGATCTCGGCTCACTGCAACCTCCGCCTCCTGGGTTCAAGAGATCCTCCTGCCTCAGCCTCCCTAGTAGCTGGGATTATAGGTGCCCACCACCACGCCTGGCTAATTTTTGTATTTTTCGTAGAGATGGGGTGTCACCTTGTTGGTCAGGCTGGTCTCAAAGTCCTGACCTCGTAGTCCGCCTGCCTCGGCCTCCCAAAGTGCCTTTTTCTCCACATTTATCAATTGTCATTCTTCTGTGAGCAAGGCCTGGTTTTCCTCAGTTACTTAAATATCAACTGTATTTATTTAGTTACTCATTAATCACAAAGCACCTGAGTGTAGAAGCTGGTGTTACTGTTTATTTGCTCCTGTGTCTGAACAGCGAGCCGCGTCCCGTCCGGGCAGCTCCCACAGCTGTTAACTCAGGTTTGCTTTTTCCCTGGAGACAGACCCAGAGGCTAGTGTTAGGCCTGGCACGTCTGCCCGCGTGCAACATCTGAGAACGTTCGGCTCACGTTTCGTTTCTACAATGTCCCTTGTGACTCGCCTCGCTGTCTTCTGGGCCCACTGATGGCCGTCCCTGCGCGTGGGGGGCGGTGGGGTCTGAGGCCGGCGCCAGCCGTGGCCCGCCTGACCCTAGGTTTTGGCCGCAGGCTGGATGACTGCAGCCTCACGGAGGCCCACTGTGAGGGCATCAGCTCTGCACTCCAGGCCAACCCTGTGCTGACGGAGCTCAACCTGCGCAGCAACGGGCTGGGCGATGCTGGCGTGCACCGCATCCTCCAGGCCCTGCAGAGCTCCTCCTGCAAGATCCAGAAGCTGAGGTGAGGTGGGGCTGGCACCACCTCTGCCCCGTGCGGCCTGTTTGGTAGCCCGGCAGCAGGGGACGGAGCCACCAGGGGTCGTGGGCGGGCAGGTGGTGGCATCGGGCACTTCCGACATCAGCCAGAGGCAGACAGGCCTAGTGGCCTCGCAGTGGTGGGACAGGGCCCCTCCTGCCTTGTCCCAGCCCCTGCACCCAAGGTCTGCCCCTGCCTGCAATCCCCGGGCTTCCGGCATCACCGGAATGCTGGTGTCCACGGAGGCCTGAGCCTCTGGCTGGCTCTCCTGGACCCATGCTGAAGGGGTTTCTGCAGACAAGGCCTCCTTGGGCTGAGCCACACGTGTGCCCCCTGCTCCCGGCCGGCCTGGAGACCCCAGATTCCGTCCAGGGAAGGAGTAGGTATAGGCCTGCCGTTTGTAGGGCACCACTCTGGGCTCTGGGCTCCGGGCTCCGGGCCCGTGAAGTGGGCGGTAGCTGGCTCCGGGGAGCCCTGCTGACAGCCAGGCCTGTTCCAGCTTCGAGTGCTGCAAACTGACAGTGGACGGCTGCAGGGTCCTGTCTGGCTCACTGCGCTCCCTGCCCACCCTGCAAGAGCTGAACCTCACCTGCAACGCCTTGAAGGATGCAGGCCTGCAGCTGCTCTGCGAGGGACTCCTGGACCCCCAGTGCCACGTGGAAAAGCTGCAGTGAGTGTGTGCCCTTCCTGCGGCTGTGCTCCCTGCTGCCTGTCCCCTAGCAGCCCCTGCCAGGAGAGGAGCCGTGATGAGTGGACTCAGGTCACAGGGTCTTTGGGGGGCTCCGTCGTCACCCTCCCACCCCCTCAGTTGCCCTTGGCAAGGAACAGCTGTCCTGGGACCTGACAGTGGGAACAGATGTGTGGCCTTGAGTCAGGCTGCACTCAGCACCCCAGTGTGTGGGGGGCACCCCGGTGTGTGGGGGGCCTGGCCACTGAGTTGAACATAGCCGGCATGGAAGGTGGCCCGGCCCTCCAGAGGCTGGCTTCTTTCTCTTGGGCCTGGTTGGGTTCCAGAGTCTGAGGTGGGTCCGTTGGTTAGTGAGGGGTTTCCAGAAGGAATGCCAGTGACCACAGAGGCCTGAGCCTCTGGCTGTCTGTCCCTGACCAGCCACCTTGGATGAGTCTCTAGGGGGCCCTCAGCACTCCCAGCTGGTGCCCAGGCAGGAGGCTGGGGGGAAGAGACGCCAGCACCCCCACACTCCCTGGCATCACGCCCTCGGCTGGCACACATTCCTGTGTGGTGCTGAGCTTGGTCTGCCTCGCAGGCTGGAGTTCTGCAGGCTCTCGTCTGCCAGCTGTGAGCCCCTGGCCTCGGTGCTCAGGGCCAAGCCGGACTTCAAGGAGCTCACGGTGGGCAACAACGACTTCGATGAGGCCGGCATCCGTGTGCTGTGCCAGGGCCTGAAGGAGTCCCCCTGCCAGCTGGAGACGCTCAAGTAGGCACTGGGCCTTGGGCGGGGGGTGCGGGGTGTGGGCGGGGGTGTCCGGTGTGCCTCACACGTGACCTGCACCCCAGGCTGGAGAGGTGTGGTGTCACCTCGGACAACTGCAGGGACTTGTGCAGCATCTTGGCCTCCAAGGCCTCCCTGCGGGAGCTGGCCCTGGGCCACAACAACCTGGGCGACATGGGCATCGCGGAGCTGTGCCCGGGGCTGCTGCACCCCAGTTCCAGGCTCAGGACCCTATGGTAAGTCACCTCCCTGAGGCCTCCTCCCAGAGGGTCAGGGGCTCAGGCCATCCTTGGAGCCCTCCCCCGACACCTGGACTTGCCTCAGGCCATGCCACAGTGCTGAGGAAAGTCCCTGGGGGGGTCTGTCTCCCACAGGATCTGGGAGTGTGGCCTCACCGCCAAGAGCTGCGAGGACCTGGGCCGTGTCCTCAGGGCCAAGGACAGCCTGAAGGAGCTCAGCCTGGCTGGCAACAAGCTTGGGGACGAGGGTGCCCAGGTGCTTTGTGAGAGCCTGCTGGAGCCTGGCTGCCAGCTGGAGTCGCTGTGGTGAGTGTGGCTGGCGGGATGGGACCCTGTCACCCAAGAGAGGGTCAGGGTGACCAAGGCCAGGGGAGGTGCTGGTTTCAGCTCTGACCTTCAGAATGCACGGCCCAGGAGCAGCCCGTGGTTTGGTGGGGACACTGCTTGGGGCTGAGGACCAGCCACAGGTGCCCACAAGCTGGGAGGCTCTCGGATGTTTCTGCTCAGGTCAATGTGGGGCCTTTAGGGGAAGGGCCGGTCGCAGCTGTGGGCCAGCCTGGGCCCCTTCCAGGCCTCAGTCCTTGTCCGTGTCCACAGGGTGAAGTACTGCGGCTTGACAGCTGCCTGCTGCTCCCACTTCAGTTCAGTGTTGGCCCAGAATAAATTTCTTCTGGAGCTGCAGATAAGTGAAAACAGGCTGGGAGATGCAGGTGTGCAGGAGCTGTGCCAGGGCTTGGGCCAGCCTGGCTCTGTGATGCGGTCACTCTGGTGAGTGTGTGAGGGACATGAATATGCATATTTGGGAGGTCGTGTGTGTGTGTGTGTGTGTGTGTGTGTGTGTGTGAGAGCACGAGCATCCATGTGAGAACACGTTTGTAAGAACCTGGGTGTTCATGTGCTGGGGAAGGCAGCATGGCGGCACCATTCTGGCTTCTTGCAACTTTGATCAGAGTCAGAGACAGAGGTCTTGGTTCATGAAGCCTAATAGCTTTTGGGGCTCCAGCCTGCCCTGGCCACCCTGTGGTCCATTTTCCTGGAAGTCCCGCCCACCTTCCTGCCATGCAGGAACCCAGGGTCAGGATGTCTTCCCAGGTTTCCTCCCTTTGTTAAAGCACGTTGTCTTGCAGCTTCCTAAGAACAGGTTCTGCAGAAGGTAATTATTGGAGGCCTGCATCTGCTCTGCCCTTGGGTCATTCAGCTGGGTATAGAATTCTGGGTTACAAATTCAGCTGGGTATAGAATTCTGGGCTACAGATGTTCCTGTAGAATTGGTAGGTGATGCTACATCATTTTCTGGCTTCCAGAGAGGACTTTGCTGTTCTGATTTTTTTTTTTGAGATGGAGTCTTGTCACCCAGGCTGGAGTGTAGTGGCGTGATCTCTGCTCATAGCAACCTCTGCTTCCCGGGCTCAAGCCTCCCGAGTAGCTGGGATGACAGGGGTGCATCACCATGCCTGAATAATGGGGCTTTCACCATGTTGCTCAGGCTGGTCTCAAATTTCTGACCTCAGGTGATCCACCTGCCTTGGCCTCCCAAAGTGCTAGGATGCCAGGTGTGAGCCATCATGATCTTGTGTGCACGATGTGCTTTTTCTCATTGGCAGCTTTTAAAGATGTCTTTGCCCATTGTGTTTGGGGTTCCATGTGCTTTGCCTTGATGTGTGTCTTGGTTCTTTTATTGTGCTGGATACTTGGCTGTCCTAAGTATCACGCCTTTGGTGATTTTTCCTCTCATTTTTTTTTTGAGAGTTTCACTCTTGTTGCTCAGGCTGGAGTGCAGTGGTGCGATCTCACTGCAACCTCCGCCTGGGTTTAAGCAACTTTCCTTCCTCAGCCTCCCAGCTGATTTTCGTATTTTTAGTAGAAATGGGGTTTCACCATATTGCTCAGGCTGGTCTCGAACTCCCGACCTCAGGTGATCCACCCGCCTCGGCCCCCAAAGTGCAGGGATTACAGGTGTGAGCCACCATGCCCCGGTGTGCCCGTGAGGTCTCCTGGACTGGCCCGCTAATTGTGTTCTCCAAATGTTCTGTCTCTTCGAGGTTTTGTTCTTATTTCTGGGAGATGTTCTTGTTCCTCAACCAGTCTACTGAATTTCCACCATCAGTGTTTTGTCTTTTGTGTGCTGCTTCACCTGTGCCTCTCGCCAGGGGCTTTCCATGGGTGGCCGGGCACCAAGTGCAGAGTGAGGCCCGGGAGCCCTGGGCAGCGGGCTGGGCAGGCGAGTCGTGGCTGTGTTTCCTGGGGCGGGGGGGGGGCTCTCAGGACGCCATCCTGGCTGCCAGGACCCTGTGGGCCTTCCAGGTGGGGCATGGAACCCTGGGTCCTGGTCACTGCAGGCCTGTCTGCCTGAGCCACTGCCAGGGTGGGGGTCCTGCAGCTTCCCTGGCTCCCACTTTGTAGAGGCCCAGCACAGCTCCTTGGCCTGGCTCCGGCCGGATGCGGCTGCACCCTGGGGAGTGAGTGCTGGGTTTTCTCCACTGTCTTTTGTCTGGCCTGTACCCTAGTCTCTCTCGGGAGCCTGAAGTCTGTTGTCCACTGTGCCTTCCTCAGAACCCTCACACCCTTGTTTCCCCACAGCTGCCCCTCGGTCTCCGTGGCTGGCTTCTCCTCTTAGCCCCACTTGGCCAGGCAGTGTTGAGGAGGTGGGGAGCGGGGGGTGGACGTGGCTCTGTGGGTGGACATTGTCTTCCTCTGGTCCTTTCTGCCCCTCGTGGGAGGAGAGAGTTGCTCAGGGAGTCAGTCTGCTGTGCCCTGCCAAGGGGCTGCGTGCTGGCCTTGTCTGTGGTGGGCACCTGCCCAGGGCCACAGAGGGTTACCGCCACCTGCTGGCAGCTTCCAGTGGGTTCTATGGGAAGATGCTTTTCGAGCAGCACAGTAGCAAGAGCTGATAGAGTTCACAGTCACCAAGGTGGATTGCCGGTCTGAGGGCGGCCTTCCCCAAGAACTGGAGCAAGGTCCTACAACGCCTTTACCAGGAGCAGTGGCTCTCGCCCCAAGCCTGCCACACAGCGGGTATCTTTGCGATACTGAACGCTGCCGCCTGGGCCATGGGTTCTTGTCCTGGCATAACTGTTTTCCCTTAAATCATGCTCTGCGCCATATCTGCTCTAGGCATTCCTCCGATTATGAGCTGCTTATTCCTTAATTCATGCTCTGTACTGTGTCCACTCCAGGCATTCCTCTGACCATGAACTAAGATATAATTATATATATATATATATATATATATATATATATGTAGGGAAATATTCTTTAGGCACTCCTCATACTATCAACTATTATATGATTACATATAGGGGATTATATCAAGGGATTCTTCAAGCCCTAATTCTATAAACTAATATATGATTATGTAAAGGATTATATAAAAGGAAATAGCTGAGTAGTGACACTGTACAGTGAGATATTCCTCAAGCCCTAACTGTGCCAGGGTTCTGCTTAGCTCTCATTCCTCGGGGCCTATATGGGGGGTTACCCACACACCTGACCCCCACCCTGCTCTACCCAGGCTGGGGGAGTGCGATGTGACTGACGTTGGCTGCCTCAGCCTCGCCAAGACCCTGTTGGCCAACGACAGCCTGCGCGAGCTGGACCTTAGCAACAACTGCATGGGGGACGAAGGCATCCAGATGCTGCTGGAGAGCCTGCGGCAGCCGTCCTGCCACCTGGAGCAGCTGGTGTACGTGCCTGTGCGGGGCGGGGGGCGGGGGTCCGGGGGGCGGGCTGGGTGAGGACACCTGCCTACTCCTCCCTTCTGGCCTGTGTGCAGCCTGTACGACATCTACTGGTCTTTGGAGATGGACCGCCAGCTGCAGGCCCTGGAGAAGGAGAAGTCATCCCTGAGGATCATCTCCTAAGCCGCTTCCTGCCCGCCAGGCTCCTGAGACCCGCTCTCCCTGGACAGCCTGGCCTCGAGGCACCCCTGGGCTCTCACCCTGCGTTTCCTAGATTTGAAGAGAAATGCTCAGATCAGCTTATTTCTGCTAGTGTATTTTGGATACTTTACAATCATTAAAACACTTTCTTGGCAGGAGGGGCTCTTTCTTCCTGGGGTCTCTGCGAGGGTGCTGGTGTCAGGCTCCTGTTCTTCCTGGGGTCTCTGAGGGCGCTGCTATTGGGCTCCTGTCCTTCCTGGGATGTCTGAGGATACTGGTATTGGGTGCACCACGCCACTTGGTATGAGCTTCTCTCTTGCCATGTCGCCCAGGCTGGTGCTTGGTCTTGGCCTCCTGAAGTGTGGGCATTACAGGTGTCAGCCATTGGCCTGGCCCAATAAAGCCCTTTTCAGTGACCTGAGGCTGGGCGTGGTGGCTCACGCCTGTGATCCCAGCACTTTGGGAAGTAGGCTGGGGTGGGCAGTTCACTTGAGGTCGGGAGCTTGAGACCAGCTGGGCCAACATGGTGAAACCCCATCTTTACTAAAAATACAAACATTAGCCAGATGTGCTGGCAGGTGCCTGAATCGCTTGAACCTGGGAGGTGGAGGTTACCTCGAGCTGAGATTGCACCACTGCACTCCAGCCAGCTCAAAAAAAAATTAACAAAGTAACCCAGACTCTTAGCTTCCTAATCAGAGGACCAAGGCTCTTTGGGGAAATGGCTGGTGCCAGGCCTGCCTGGGGTAAGAGACACCCAGCGTGAGCCTGGAGTGGCTGATGGTGTGAGGAACCGGAGCCTGTGGGTGCTGTCTGGGCCTGAGGAGCTGCCAGGAAGGCTCCCAGGGGCCGGGTGCCAGAACACAGGACTGATCACAGCCCCCTGCCCACCCCTTAGGGAAGAGCAGACAGTGACTGAGGAAGGCACCACCTCTACCCACCCAGACACATGGCTCAGTGTGAGCAGGGATGCAGAGCATGGAGTGAAGGGGAGGTGTGGGGACTCATGAGGTGTGAGGGAGGGGAGGGGCCCCCGCAGTGGGAAGACCAGGTGAAAACTGCCACCTGTTCCTCCTGGGGGGTTCGAGCTACCACCCGCACAGAGTGGAGTGCTGAGGCCCTGCGTATCCTGCAGAGGTGGACAGGCACGGTGGGGCCAAAGGTGTGAGTGACCGTAGGGAAGGGACTTGCTGGGTGTGAGGCTCAGTGGCTACAGGGCACCATCCTGCTGAACCGGGGAAGCTGCTCTTGTCTCCTCATTCCAGCCTCATGACTTAACGGGTTGAGACTTTCCCCAAAAGCAGTAAAAGTAAAGCCCTTTGAAGCCTGGGGCCCGAAGAAGAGCAGGGGGTGAGGGTGCAGCTGGCTCCCGGGACCCCCCAGGCTGTGTCCAACCTACCACTGACACCCCCTACCCCATGCCCACAGTGAAGAACAGCACCCAGGAGACCCTGTAACCTGCGACCCACACCCCATACCCCATGCCCACGGCGACCCCTTTTCTCCCCACTTGTGTTTGCAAGTTTTCATGGTAAAGTTTTAAAAATAGTGGTCTGGCCAGATCCCAGCACTTTGAGAGGCCAAGGCGGGTGGGTCACCTGTGGTTGGGAATTCAAGATCAGCCTGGCCAAGCTGGTGAGCCCCATCTCTACTAAAAATAGTAAAATTAGCCAGGCATAGTGGCGGGGTACCTGTACTCCCAGGTACTTGGGAGGTTGAGGCAGGAGAATTGCTTGAACCCGGGAGGCACAAGTTGCAGTATGTGGAGATCACACCACCACATTACAGTTTGGGAGACAGGACAAGACTCCATCTCAAAAAAACTGGCCTGAGAAGGCAGTGCCCCTCCCCAGAAATCCTGTGTCCACTGGCCAGTGGTCACCAGCTCAGCCTCCCAGCAAGGAATGAATGCAGCAGGGGGTGGGTGGACCTGGACCCTCTTGGATCCCCAGCTGTGCCCCCACCTGCTCTGCTCTGGGAGGCCAGGCGGGCGCTAAATCCTTGCTCAGGCTGAGGCTGACCCTGGTGCCTCCCGTCCTTTGTGTGGTTTTTCCCCAAGTGGGCAGTGGGCATGAGGGCAGGCTGGGGGGGGCTGCACCAGACCCCAAAGCAGGACACGGGGAGCTGGGGGGAAGGCTGAAGCCTCGGACTTCCATCACTTTATTGGTTCTCTCTGCTCATGAAGATGACCCTCGACTCAGCCATGGAGGCAGCAGGGCCCCGGCTCTGACTGGATGTCCCAAGAACCAGTTCAGTGGCCTCTACCCCTGTCCACACGTCCTCCAGGGCAGTCTGTGAAAGGAAGACTCGGAGGAGATGGCTCAGCATCGCTGCTGGATCCGCTGCTCTCGGCCACGGAGTGTTTGTGGACGATGCCCCACAGGTGCTGCTGGGAGGTGGATGTGGGGCCAGCATAGGCTCCTCTGGGCCTCAGTGCACCTGGGGCCCACAGAGTGCAGAAATGGTACCGAGATGTCCCTGCCTGGGCCATGCCACAGCTGGGTGACAGGGAGCTTGGTGGGCCAGAGGCCACGGGGCTGACTGGGCAGAGGGGGAGGGAGGACATGGTTTCTGACGGACCTGCTGTCCCAGAGCACACCCTTGCCACACCAGCCAGCTCCCGCTCTGGAGAAGCCTCGGAGCCAAGAGCACACGTGCATGCCACAGGCGGCCACACAGCACACACACGCACACATGCGTGCACACGAAAAGAGGCTGCGCCGGGGCCGCCTCCACCCTCACCCTGAGCCTCGCCAAGCGCACGGGAGAAAGGGAGAAGAAAACCTTGAGGGCAAGGCCAGGCACGTGGCTCCCGGTGGGACTCACATGGGAGGTGGCCATGGAGGCCGGGGCTCTGGGAGGCTCGTGAAGCAGCCATGTCCCAGGTCAGTTTGGAGCCGGTGCTCCCTCGCCCTCTGCCGCCCCGGGCCCCAGCAGGTCTTCGTCCAGCCCTGGTGGGTGCTGGTCCCCATTGCCGACGGCGCTGCCCGGGTCGTCTCTGTTCTGCTGCTTCTGCCGCCGGGTCTCCTTGTACCTCAAGGTAATGTCCCTGGGGGCAGGGGGCGGCGTCACCACCTGCTCCCACACTAGCCCCCATGGGCCCAAGGACACCTGGCACCTTGTCCCTGTGGAGGTCCAGGACAGGCTGGGTGGGGGCCGGGTACCCTGGCCCTGGATGGCAGCCGTGGCCTGGATCCCTCCATGCAGAGTGATGGCCCGAGGGCTGGTTCAGGAAAGCCCCAAGCGGGTGCCTCCTACCGGACAGTCTCACAGAGGCAGCCAGAGGGCCGGGGCACGGATGGTGAGACACCAACACCACGCAGCTCCTGCAGCCCCTGTGCCAGGAGACCCAGAGAGCCACCCTCCTTCGGGACCACCCACCATACTCACCGCAGGAAGAAGCGCCAGATGGTCCAGGTGAGCACCAGGATGGAGCCGAGGGTCCAGCACTGGGAGATGTAGAAGGGCAGGGACAGGGTGAGCGTGTGGGGGTCATACTTGACCACGATGAGCAGCTCCGTGGCCGTTATGGCTGCCACCAGCCAGGCCTGCTGGCCCAGCTTCTTGTGGGGCTTCCTGCAGGGGCGGCAGCGGGCTCAGCATCCCCAGCCCCACAGGTCCTGCAGGCGGCCTTGCCTAGGCCCAGCCTCCTGAGCTCTGTTCCCCCACCCCCGCCCACGGGGGCGTCTCCACCCAGCTCTCGGCAGCCCTCACGGGTCATCCATGAAGTCGTAGATCTCACGCATGGCCACGCCACCCACGTTCACGAAGAAGACGAGCCGCAGGAGGACCAGGTAGTGCTCCGGGGGCATCCACAGCACAAACTTCAGGTAGAACGTGTTCAGTTCCGCCAGCAGGAACTAGCGGGAGGAGGGGTGAGCACCAGCTCTGCTCGGGACCCCTGCCCACCACACCATCACGAGGCAGCCCGGCCTTACCACCAGGATGATGCCACACACGGCCAGCCAGCGACGCAGGCTGGAGGCCGGCTTCCACTCAAAGCGGACCCAGCTGTAGGGCGTGAACTGGAAGGCGATCCTCTTCATCTTGCCCCTGGGGACCACAGAGCCGGCAGCCTGAGGACAGCAGCCCACCAAACCCCGCCCTGACCACTGTCAGCTCTGCTCCCGGCCACCCGGCCACACCCTACGCCATCAGACCAGCTCTGCTCCCGGCCACCCGGCCACACCCTACGCCATCAGACCAGCTCTGCTCCTGGTCACCCGGCCACACCCTATGCCATCAGACCAGCTCTGCTCCTAGTCACTTGGCCACACCCTACGCCATCAGACCAGCTCTGCTCCTGGTCACCCGGCCACACCCTATGCCATCAGACCAGCTCTGCTCCTGGTCACTCAGCCTCACCCTACGCCATCAGACCAGCTCTGCTCCTGGTCACTCAGCTTCACCCTACGCCATCAGACCAGCTCTGCTCTTGGTCACTCAGCCTCACCCTACGCCATCAGACCAGCACTTCTCCTGGTCACTCAGCCTCACCCTACGCCATCAGACCAGCTCTGCGCCTGGTCACTCAGCCTCACCCTACGCCATCAGACCAGCTCTGCGCCTGGTCACACAGCCTCACCCTACGCTATCAGACCAGCTCTGCGCCTGGTCACTCGGCCTCACCCTACGCCATCAGACCAGCTCTGCGCCTGGTCACCCAGCCTCACCCTACGCCATCAGACCAGCTCTGCGCCTCGTCATCCAGCCACACCCTACGCCATCAGACCAGCTCTGTGCCTGGTCACTCAGCCTCACCCTATGCCATCAGACCAGCACTGCTCCTAGTCACCTGGCCACACCCTATGCCATCAGACCAGCTCTGCTCTTGGTCACTCAGCTTCACCCTACGCCATCAGATCAGCTCTGCTCCTGGTCATCCGGCCACACCCTATGCCATCAGACCAGCTCTGCTCCTGGTCACTCAGCCTCACCCTACGCCATCAGACCAGCTCTGTGCCTGGTCACTCGGCCTCACCCTACGCCATCAGACCAGCACTGCTCCTGGTCACTCAGCCTCACCCTACGCCATTAGACCAGCTCTGCTCTTGGTCACTCAGCCTCACCCTATGCCATCAGACCAGCACTGCTCCTGGTCACTCAGCCTCACCCTACGCCATCAGACCAGCTCTGTGCCTGGTCACTCAGCCTC